GCCACGGCATGTGCAATCTCTTGCTTGATCTGCCTGAAAGCCTGCTGTTGTTCAGGACTCCATTGGAAATCGTTCTTTTTACGGGTCACAAAATAAAGAGGGCTCACAATTTGGCTGTACTCGGGGATGTGCATCCTCCAGAAGCCTATGGCTCCCAGAAAAGCTTGGGTCTCCTTTTTGTTTGTCGGTGGAGCCATTGCTACAGTTTTATTGATGACCTCGGTTGGAATCTGGCGCCTTCCATCTTGCCATTTCACCCCTAGGAATTGGATCTCTCTGGCAGGCCCCTTGACCTTGCTTTTCTTAATGGCGAAACCGGCCTTGAGGAGAATTTGAATGATCTTCTCTCCTTTGTCGAAAACTTCCTTCGCTGTGTCCCCCCATACAATGATGTCATCAATGTACTGGATGTGTTCTGGAGCCTCACCCTTCTCCAGTACAACCTGAATCAACCCATGACAGATGGTGGGACTGTGTTTCCACCCCTGGGGCAGTCGATTCCAGGTGTATTGCACGCCCCTCCACGTGAAAGCAAACTGCTGCCTGCACTCTTCTGCCGAGGGAATGGAGAAAAATGCATTTGCTATGTCAATGGTAGCATACCACTTCGCTGTCTTGGACTCCAGCTCGTACTGGAGCTCCAACATATCTGGTACAGCAGCACTCAATGGCGGCGTGACTTCATTCAAGCCACGATAGTCTACCGTCAGTCTCCATTCACCATCGGATTTGCGTACAGGCCAAATGGGGCTGTTGAAGGGTGAGTGAGTCTTACTGACCACCCCTTGACTCTCCAACTTCCTGATCATCTTTTGAATAGGGATCACAGCATCTCGATTGGTTCGGTATTGTTGTCTATGTACTGTTGAAGTGGCTATTGGCACTTGTTGATCATCAACTTGCAGGAGTCCTACAACAGAAGGATCTTCTGAGAGACCAGGCAGGGCAGACAATTGCTTGTATTTCTCCTCAGTCACTGTGGCTACACCAAAAACCCATCGGTATCCCTTCGGGTCCTTGAAGTATCCTCTTCTCAGGTAATCAATACCAAGGATACAAGGAGCTTCTGACCCTGTCACAATGGGATGCTTTTCCCATTGGTCTCCAGTCAAGCTTCGGCTTCTACCACTGACAACTCTTGCGATCCTCCTGTCACTCCAGAAATAGACACAGTCTCCGTAGTCTTGTGTTCAGATGGCATCAATGTACACTGGGCACCGGTATCTATCAAAGCCCGGTATCTCTGTGGATCCGATGTGCCAGGCCATCGAACCCACACAGCCCAGTAAACCCGATTGTCCTTCAGGTCCCTTTCCTTCTCCTGGCAGAAGGCAGGACCTCTCTATTGGTCCTTGTCAGAGCATTCATTGTCAGATGTCCTCTTTGCTCCACCAGTGGCCTTCTTGTTGTCAGGAAAGTGAACTGCAGCCTTCTTGTATTGTGGAGATTGAAACTGCTTTTCCACAAAATCCGCATCAACTACAAAGACAAGTTTCTTGTTGGCTTCCTTCTGTTTCAGCTCTTTCACTCTGGCCTGAAGTTTGGAAGTGGGCTGTCCATCCCATTTTTTCATGTTCTCTCCCTGATTGCGTAAGTAGGACCACAACTGATTACGTGATTGACAGTTAGGGCCCTTCCTCCTGCGTGTAGGGGGTGGAGTTGTTGACCGAGATCTGGACCAGGATAGAGGTTGAGCTTGTGGTCTAGATCGCTTTACTGTACTGGTGTGTCTCTGTAGTCATCTCTGTCTTTGTAGTCATCCTCATATTGGGAATATTCATAATCTCCTTCCATTCTTCCCTTAGGGCGGGTGGGTTGACGTCGGACTTCGGAAAGATCTTCGAAATTCTCTGCTATAGTCTGTATCCACTGACACATTGTTTCTACATCTGGTCCATCCAACTTTGGATGGAATGCTGAAATTAGGCAGTTGATGTATTGTGCAGGGGCACCTTTAATCACTTTTCTCCACATTGGATTGGTACATGGGAGACGCGCAGGGTCTAAGATATCATAATAGTCTGGCTTACTGAAGATAAGTTCAAGCATGGCCAGTTCCTGCAGATATTGAATACCTTCTTCCGCAGTTGTCCATTTTCTTGGAGAACTTGTTAAGTACTCCTTAAATGGATATCTCTCTCTTACCGCAGTAAGGATCCTAAGCCAGAGACTATGACTAAATCGCTCTCGTGCAATCCCTTGTTCAATCTCACGGTCTCGAGCCAGAGATCCCAACTGCTGTGCTTCGTGACCTTCCAGCATGTGACTTCTAGCTCCGTTGTCCCAGCACCTTACCAGCCAGGTTAGAATTCGTTCACCAGGCCGGCGACTA